TGTTTCTCCCTCTGTCATCTCGGTCCGACTCGGTCTCTCCAAGTTTCTCTCCGGGAAGTTTTCGCAGGCTCTCGCGCCTACCCTCTTCTTCTCTCTCCCTCTCAGGGCCTCTGTTTGGGCCTCTCTCTACCGGTTTGCCCTCGCCCCCCGTGTGTGTCCCTGTCATGACCGCTTCCCCCTTGGGCAGTTTACCCAGTGACCTGTGCTTTCAGACTCAGCCCTACCACCTGTGGGCAGAGCAGAGGGGACTTCCTCAGGGAACTTGCCTCAGAGCATCTCAGATCGAATGATGGCCAGAGGTGCTCTGTGGGCGGCCCCTCGCCCCACAGCTCTGCCCCTACTTCCAACCTATCCCGCTTCAGACGCTGGGTGGGCGGGGCCCTTTCCAGGGGTCCTGCAGCCTCACGCACCTTTCACAAAAACCTGGCATCTTTCTGTTCCACAGTTCTGGCAACCCTGTGAATCTGAAGCCCTAACACTGTTCTTTCCTTTAGAAATACAGTTCACAGATTCTTTTCTGAAAGATCTACATTTTACCCTCCCCCCTCTTCCTTCCACCCAGGCTTGGGCACTATTCAAAGGAAAGTTTCGAGAAGGCATCGACAAGCCAGACCCTCCTACCTGGAAGACACGTTTGCGATGTGCTCTGAACAAGAGCAACGACTTCGAGGAGCTGGTGGAGCGGAGCCAGCTGGACATCTCGGACCCCTACAAAGTGTACAGGATCGTCCCCGAGGGCGCCAAGAAAGGTAGGGCTTCCTGGACTGGGGCTGCCGCCACTTTAACGCCTTAATTTCAATCTCGGGGCCTCTTTTTCTGGTCTTGGTTTTTTTGTAGCCTGTCTGCCAGCCTCAGCCTCCCATTCAAGCCCAGCAAGCTATTTGGGTCACACATGGAAATTCTCCAGCGCAGGCTAATTTCTCAGACTCCAAGTCTCTACCTGTGTGTGCGTGCATGTATGTTTTCCAGTTCTGCTAAGATGTGGGCCAAATTTCCAAACCAAAAATGAAAAGGCTGTTCGAACCGTTACTTCTCTATCAGTTCTCTCATGATTAACTGTTTTGTAGAAGGGAGGCGCACACAGTCCAGATGTTGTTGCCATTCATCTTAATAAAAGTGTCAACTTCAAAGTGTGCCATGGTCAACTTGGGTGCTTATTAATATTCAGATTCCCACTTTCCAAGATTCTGACCAGTGTGTCAAAACAGAGCCCAGGAGTCTGCCATTTAAACCACAAGGTGACCTCACCAGCAGCGTATTTGCTGGGCCCGTCACGTCACAAGGCTCATGGCCCATGGCTTCACCCACTTCCCTCCTTGCCCTACACGCGTTGGACCTCGCGGGAACCAGTTTAATGGCCTGGACAAATAATGCCCAAGGGAATTGCAAAAAAATGCCTTATTTGTCAACAATGTTATGCATTCTAGGAATTAAACCCTCAGGTATTTTTCTAAGATTTGACGTTTAGTCATGTCAGTTCCCTTTTTCACTCTGTGCACTTCCCTTCTGCCTAAACACTCAGGAGCAAAGCAGCTGGCCCTGGAGGACCCACAGCTGCCCATGAGCCACCCCTACAGCGTGACAGCACCTTACACCCCACTCCCGGCTCAGGTATGGGAGGGCAGGGCTTCAGGAAGGGGAGGCTGGGTCTGTGTGAGGCACACACAGCGGAAGAGACCCAAGACAAAACAGCAGAACTTCATTTTTGCTCTTAGTCAAACAGCCAAGGCAAACCCTGGGCCACTGGGTGACTGCCTGGCTTCCCACCTGGTGTTGCCGTGGGAGCAGGTTTCAGGCGGAGGAGGGCGGGAGTGTCTGCCTGTTGGCCAGATGCTACTACGGATGCTGAAATCTGGGAAACAGGCCTTTTGTGGAAGTCAAAGCTTCTGGAACCAGGGCTTTATCATGTGAAACCACAGGGCAGATGATCCCTGCAGACTCAACTGCTGTGAATTACAGCTCTGTTTGATCCGCTCTGCTGGGTGGGAGAAGACGCATTTCCCGGCAGTGCGTCTGGTGCAGGTTTAACCATGTGATGAGCTTTACAACACTGTCTCCACTGTGCTTTTCGTTCTTCGTGGCGAGTTTCCACCAAGCCTTCTCGGATGATAAGACAATTTGGCCGCCGGCCACACAAGAGGTTCCCGAGGAGTTTGCAGGACTCCTCGAGGCCGCCCCCTGAGCTGGTGGCTCCCCTCAAGCTCCACTCTGGTCCCTCCAGCAGGTTCACAACTACATGATCCCGCCCCACGACCGAGGCTGGAGGGAGTTCGTCCCTGATCAGCCGCACCCAGAGATCCCGTACCAGTGTCCTGTGGCCTTTGGACCCCGCAGCCACCACTGGCAAGGCCCATCCTGTGAAAATGGTAAGGAGGGCACTGGGACAGCTCCTGTGGCCAGAAGGCCTGCCCCTCCTGGCCTGTCCTCTGGGCAGTCCCTCCTCAGAGCTGCTGGGAAAGGCACCCCCTGCAGTGAAGGAGAGGAGGGGACCCCAGAGGAGGGATACTGAAGGTCACTGACGCCTGGCCTGTGTGTGCCAGGACTTAGGCTCAGCGCTGCCTCCTGGAATCTTCTTTAAACATTGCAGGGGTCCTTCCAGGCCCCTGTTTCTATAGGTGCAAGCTCACACCATGTAAGCAACGTGCCCAAAGTTACCCAGTGAGAGTGGAGGGCTGGGATTCAGTGTCAGGCCTCCTAACCCCAAAGTCCAGCCACGTAACACAGAAGATGTCAGATTTCAAACTGGTTGGCAGTATTTCTTAAATTATCTGCTTAGTAAGGTAGCATGTTTCTTCCTCCCTGAATAATCTTAAACTTCGTTTTCAACCTTGGGGAAAAAGTAGTAGATTTTGGCAGTCTCCCCAGAGAAGACGGAATTGTCCCTTAATGCTGGCTGTTCCTGTCCACGTGTCTGTGAAACCAGCACATGGCAGCTGTGCCCGTGCCCTCCCTCCACAGGGACACTGGGAGGTCGCTGCCCCAGCGTGTTTCTCCTACACGGCAGTCGTGCCCACCGAGTTGTTGCTGGGCTAGGGCGACAATAAGAAGGGAGTGAATGAGCACTGTCAGGAGGACGTAAAAGGCCCCCCGAGCCCCTGGCTGGGGCCGGTTTGGTCTGGATTGGAAGTGCTTGCCCAGAGCCTTCCCCAGACACCGAGATGAGATCTTGCCGCAGAAGCACTGACTTGCTAAGTGCAGAGAAGATTTCACATGGTATGATTCAGTACATCAAAGCACAAGCTTTTAGGACTTCCGAGTTAGTTATCCGAGTGGAAATTCTAAGACTGGTCAACATACAGATCCTTTTGTATGTTCTAGGAGTATTTGCTGCTTTCTCTGGTCACGTCCCGGTCACTCTTGGCTTGTGGTATTGGCTACATATACGGTTATTTCAGATTAGTATTGCATGACATGTTTATTAAAAAGCTCAGATTTTGGTTTTAATAGCTTTTCCAGAGTGATTCGCAGCAAAGTCGGCTTTCCATGTAGTGAAGGAGTTAACTGACGTTGGACTGGTTTCCAGAGTCTAGACCTATGTCCAGTGCGCCAGCACCTCTAGACTAGTGACCTGCGTGAAGAGGCACCACCTGGAGCTGGGACAGGGTGTGTGAGGCAGACATACCTTGAAGCACAGGCGACATTAAGTGAAGCTCCAGCAAAATCGGGTTCTACTGCATGTTCTTTCTCTATTAACGTTGCTGGCAAGAGACAAGGTCCAGTTTTCCCCCAAACCCAGGAGCAGCAAGCTAAGTAAACGTGGGCTGAGCAGTTTGTAGGGGCTTCTTTTTAATCAGGCTCTTTAAGCTGGGCTCACAGCTCTGCTGTGCACCTGCTGTGTGAACGGGGGCGAACCCCGCCGTCTGTCTGAGCCCCAGTTTCCCTGCACGTCAGTCGTGGAGGAATGTGGGTCCGAGGGCATAGATTGAGAGTTGCCAGGAGGGTAGGTCTTTTCTCTCAGCAAACTCACACACAGGCCCACAGGCCTTCTGTGAGGTGAGGAGGTGTTAGCCAACCAAAGGGAAATGAGGGACGGAGGGAGGAAGAAAACAGGGAGACGCCAAGTCTCCTTCAGTGAGAAAGTGCATTCCTCCTTCAACCCTGGTCTCCCGGCTGGATGCCAGCTTGTCTTGTGGCTCTGGAGGGCCCGAGCCCTTCCGCCCAGGCTGGTGCACCCCAGGGGCTGACTGGACACACCCTGCGGGGCTGGATGGACTGTCTGGCTGCCATCTGATTCTTCTTTGCAAATACAGGTTGCCAGGTGACAGGAACCTTCTATGCTTGTGCCCCGCCTGAGTCCCAGGCCCCCGGGATCCCCATAGAGCCAAGCATAAGGTCTGCTGAAGCCTTGGCGCTCTCAGGTGAGTGGGGGGCCCCGAGGCGGCGTCTGCAGGCTCCCCTCGCGTCTGGGTGGATTTGAGGGGTCAGTGAGCACAGCTGGGCCCGGAGCAGTGACGCCCCTGACCCCCGACCGTGAGCGAGGTTGGAAGGTTAGCAGGGGGAGGAGGGCTCCGATCCTGGTCATTCCTCTAATCTGCCTCCACCGCTGGTCCCACCTGGCCCCGCTGGAGGCTGACCTTGCAGGAGTGTGCAGACCCCCGGTGCATTCCTCCAGGCCCTCTGCAGCCGGCACCCTCGCGGCACGGTAGGCTCCTCAGAGCAGAGCGCGGGGCTCCTAGAAAGAGCAACCAGGGGCCTTCGTCAGCTTCCCGCGGACACTAGCCCTGGGTCCTTCTCACTGTGTGCGCTGCCCGAGGAGACAAGCGTGGTGGCCTCCCCCTGAACTTGATGTGTCCTGCAGACAAACATGGATTCGATCTGGTTTTTAAAGTTTCATTTCTAAAAGACTCCCTGCAGCTTGGAGACCATGCCTGTTTTAAGGAAGGCACCCCAAGGCTCACTGCACTTGCGTGGTGTATGTGTGTTTGTTTTTAGATAATGTTCTGATTTTTTTAGGTGGGATTTGTGTTAATATTAAAACTGAATAGCTAAGCCCCCCGCCTTGCCCCCGGCCTCTTTGAAGATGAGCCACAGAAAGTGTAAGCCGAGTTCTCGAGGTTCCGGGAGGTGAGAGCCGGGCTGTCCTCGCCCCCAGGGGCCTGGGCCTCCACGCACGGACCTTCCTGGTGCCGCGGCTCTGCAGGAGTCTCGCCGGCCCTGGACGTATCAGGGAGGAGGGGCTTCTGAACAGAAAGGCCTGTGTGTGTTTTTAGAAACTTTCAAACCCTTTTCTTGAACACCTCAGGCTTGTGTGGGTCCCTGAAGAGTAGGAAATAGATAGCTATTTATATCCCTGTGACCTCGTGATTTCTGATGACGTTCAATGAAATGAAACCTCTAGTGGCCGACACCCACTCCTGGGGCTCAGAGCAGCAGAAGTCGAAGGGGAGGCTCGAGACAGTGATGTGGGTTGTCTGAGTGTCAAAACCTGCCATTGAGGAACAAGAGGCTTTTGTGGGTTTCCCTGGGCACACAGTTCAGCTAAGTCCCAGCCTCGCCAGCTCAGCAGAGGACCGCCGTCCCTCGTGGTGAGCCTGCACGGTCACTTAGGACGGGCTGAAGCTCCTCGGCCTTTCAGATCAGGGCACCTCTCCAGCCTGGCTTGGTCCCTTCAGCCTGTGGGTTGTATTTTAAAGAAGGTTCTGAAATCAACGAAATTTTAAAAATTAGTTCATCTTGTTTGACGTTTGAGGAAGTGAAGTTCTAGAGCCAAACTCAAACACAAAGTGTCAGCCCTGGGAACATGGCCCTCACAAGGTAATTTCGTTAAGCAAGTGGTACATTAACAGTGGAAAAATAATTTAAAAATCAGAAAAGCAACAATGAAAAACGATAGTGTCACAGTCCCACCGCCCAGAGAGCACCACCGTCCCAGGGCTTCTGCGTGTGCGTGTGCGTGTGGGGAGCACCATCCTGACACTTCAGGGCGGCTTCAGGTGTGTGGAAATATTTGCTTTTTTTCTCAAACACCATTGTACTTTTTTTGCTGAAAGTTGAACTTAGGGTTTACTTCTTCCAAAATCAGAACTGCTTGTCTGGCTTAAAATGCATTTTTTGCTCAGCAGCACAGGACTTAGTGTATTGGAGACGAGTGTCCTCGTCACCAGTGTGGTGCCCCCGCCAGCAAAAAGTAAATCCGTGTCATGTGTGTTTGGAAAGTGCCCAGTTAGAGGGCAGTGAGGAGACTCCTGGCAGACGTCTCCACCTCCCTCCGAGTCCCCAGGAGGGACGTGAGTCTTGCAGGGTCCTCTTGGCCCCTCAGCAACGTCCCACCAGATGCCCCTCGCCCTGGTCAGCGGCTTGGCCTCCGGGGCGGGGGTCCGGCGCGGCGCGGCTCCTCAGCGCTGACCCTGGAAACTTTGTTTGCAGACTGCCGGCTCCACATCTGCCTCTACTACCGGGAGGTCCTGGTGAAGGAGCTGACCACGTCCAGCCCTGAGGGCTGCCGGATCTCCCATGGGCACACCTACGATGCCAGCAGCCTGGACCAGGTCGTCTTCCCCTTCCCGGAGGACAGCGGCCATCGGAAGAACATCGAGAAGCTGCTGGGCCACCTGGAAAGGGGTGTGGTCCTCTGGGTGGCCCCCGACGGGCTTTACGCCAAGAGACTGTGCCAGAGCAGGGTCTACTGGGACGGGCCCCTGGCGCTGTGCAGCGACCGGCCCAACAAGCTGGAGAGAGACCAGACCTGCAAGCTCTTCGACACTCAGCAGTTCTTGTCAGGTGAGGCCGCTGATCTCCGTCAGGATGGAGGTCCTGGGGGGAGGACCTGCCTCAGGGGTCTTCCGTCTGTTAACCCCGGGCCTGCCGGGCAAGGCCCCAGGGTAGGTTTCTGGGGGGCTCGCCTGTCACCCCATCAGCAGAGGCGTGTGAGAAGGAGGCTGACCTCAGGAGGACTGTGGTTCAGGCTGAGGTCTCGAAGTTCTGGTGTTCACCAAGTACTCACCAGCTAACAAGGCTCACATCTGGCTGGCAGTGTGGCCTCAGCGAGCATGTCTGCCGATGTTTTGGCTCCTTTAAGTTTCCTAGAAAAATTGTAAGGTTGGAAGTATGTTGTTAACACTCTGGCTGTGAGGTGTGTCACCCTCAAGAGAGGCCTTCCAGCAGGTGGGACCAAGGCTGAGTGTGTTGAACTGATTTTGCAGCAGGGAAGTTATGAGCTGTCTCTGTAGGTTTCACATCACGTTTTCCAGAACCAGTAGGTGTCGTGTCCCTAGTTTTGATCTCGTGGTAGTTAGCTGAGCCCTGGGCTGGCTTTTGTGGAGAGCGCTGGCCACCACACGGAGGAAGCTTTGCCCAATGTCCGTTTACGTCTGGACTCGTGTTGCCTCTTCTGGGGCAGAAGCAGTTCTCCGAGCGTCCGCATTGTCGCTAATGACCCTGTGCAAGTGCCCCTCCAGAAACACTCTGTCCTGGGCTTTCTCGTGCCTCTGCTCTCCCTGAAGGTGCTGCTCAACTCCACTCACGTCAAGTAACAGGATGAGGCATCCTGGAGCCTCACTGCCGGAGGCACTTGCTCAAATGTGGGGTTGAAGTTGCCCGAGTTTGCTTGGGGTCACCCAAATTCTCTTTTTGTGCCGAAGCAAACGCATCCCCAGACAACCGGTCCCCTGCAGGGCCGGACAAGAGGGAGAGCCGAGCCCTGGCACCCGAGGTGGGAAGGCGCGCGGGGCTGGCTGCCCCGCCCACCCGGAGCCTCGGAGCTGCCTCCCGGGGGCCTGGAGGGCGCCTGGGTATGGGTCTCTCCGAGGCGGTGGGGCTGAGGCTCAGAAGGCACCGCAGGGCGGGGGCTCTAACGGCAGGCCCCCGGGCAGTGGCCCTTCTTCCCCGAGTCCCTCACACCTAGGAAGGGGGCCTCCTCCCTTTCTGGCCAGGCGAGAAGCTGCGCCTGAGCCTCGGGGCCTGGAGGGCTGCACTCACTTCACGTTTATCTGTGAGCAAGGGCTGTTTTGCTTTTTCTTCCTCTGTGACCCAGGGCTGTGCCCTTAGCCCAGTGCTGCCTCTTTTTATATCCTGAGGTGTCACTGAGGTTCAAGAGGCCTGTGAGCTCAGAACTGCAGCTGCGCAGAGCAGCCCCTCCAGCGAAGGGCTCCCACGAGTGTCCGCAGGTTACCGGCCTTCAGAGAACCGTGCCACCGTGCCCCTGCGAGCAGCCTGTGTGGTGTGGGCGCCTCTGCCCACCTCGCAGCGTGGAAGCCTTTCACATGTTCTGACTAAGCCGGTTGGGTTTGATTTGAATTCTGGAAGACAAAAAGAAAAGCAGGAAGTCAAATGGTCCACTGAGTTAGCTAGAAACTTTTCTTCAGTTGAAGAGAACAGTGGAAATCTTTGATATCTGCCCTTTCAGGACCTGCCGGCTCCGGGGACAGCCCCAAGGGGCCCGGGGTGCTCATCTGATAAGAAGGCAGCCGCAGCTCTGCAGACGTGACATCTGGCTGTAGCAGGAGGGCAGGGCCAGCCGGGGCACTGTCACCCTGACTGAGGCTGGGGGCCGGGGCCCCGCAGGGGAGCACATGGCTCAGCGGTGCCCCTCGCGTGGCGGTATAGCCGCCGGGACACACCCACACCCACAGGCTCGCAGCCCATCACCCCCACCCCAGTCTCAAACCCATGGCAAGAAGTCAGCCCAGAGTCAGTTTGGGATGCAGCTGCCCACGGCTGGGGCTGAGTCTCCGCTTTGGCGGTGTCTGCGTCGCGCCTGTGGAGGTCCCGGTGGCGAGGACGGATTAAGGGCTCAGCAGTTTTGAGATGAGGTTCATGAGTAGACCAGGGTCAAATCAGACCATTCTATTTTTTTAAAGAGAATTTCTCTTTGGTATAAATTATTCTCTTGCCTCGATGTGGCTTCGCTTCCTTTTCCTCCTCCTTCATTCCTCTCTGCCGCCTTTGCCTCCTCACGGGTCACCAGCTGCAAAGTGCAGGCCCTGGTCTTAGGCTGCGTCCGCTCGAGGTGAAGGCGGGAGCCTGCGGGAGGGACTCCATGAACGCGCGGTGGTCCTGCCCTCCCTGCCTCCTGCCCTGGTCCCTGAGTAGGCGTGGGCTCCCTGCTCCAGCCTGCATCCCATCCCTGTGGGGTTCTGAACGCCTCTCTTGTGGGTCCCTGCAGAGCTCCAAGCGTTCGCCCACCACGGCCGGCCTCTGCCGAGGTTCCAGGTGACTCTGTGCTTCGGGGAAGAGTTTCCAGACCCTCAGAGGCAACGGAAGCTCATTACAGCTCACGTGAGTGTTTGCTGCCTTAATGATAGCGTTTCCTTGGCCTGCATGGAGAGCAAGGTCCCGCTCAGAGAGGTTCGGTTGAGACATGAGTGTCCAGTGACCAGGCAAAGCAGGTGCAGCAAGCAGCGCAGCCCGAGCCCACCCACCTCCCGGCGCCCGTGACCCCGCGCTGCCGCCCGCCCGTGACCCCCAGCCCTGGCTGCATCCTTCCTGTGTCCTTTGTTCTTCAAGGAAGTTGTCGTATCCCCCTTTGTGGGGATTTAACAGGATGGAAGCTGAATGTTGCCCTTTAGAATTCTTCCCCCTTAATACTGCTTTTCAAGTGCTCATCTTCCCTTGGGGGGAGAAGCTTTTCCCAAACTGACTTTTGTGTATCTTGTAGGCCCCTCCAGATGTTCCCCAGATCCTCTTTTATTTCTGAATTTTAAAAATTATTTAATTGCTGGAAACCAAGAGCATGTGTTATCTGGAAGAAGCTAAACCGTTCAAGCATTTCGAATGGGTCAGCTCATCACCAGGTTCACCAGCAGTTTAAGATGGGATTCACCCGTGGCAAGGAAACATTTCACAAAAAAGGAAAGAAACGGGACTTAGATAAATAACATTTAGCATTCCTTTGCCACAGAAAACAGAGTTTTGAATACTTAAGATTTTTGAACTTGAAATTTGAAGACTTTGCATTGCATTCAGGCGTTATTAATGGGCCCAGATAATGAGCAGTAACAGGTAAAAAATTACACCAAATAATAACAAAATTCAGGTCAGATTTTAGTTCTGATACCGGTTCTTGTTGAAATCTGACATAAAACACTGTCTAACGTGCGCTCTCTAATGCACCCCCCCCTTCCTGATTGTAAAATCAAAAAACAACCAACCAATAAACAAAAGTATAGTCCCCATAAACTTTAGGGTTTTCTCACAAGTTCTCTCCCGGGATCGATACAATTGTTGATTTAGTAACTGATCCTTGTTAACAACTGTCAAAGGACTAAAGCATCTTGGCCCTGGGAGATAGCATCTCAGACGGCAATGGTGACCCCGAGCCTGTGGAGCTGGACACACTGGCCCTGGTTGGGCAAGGATTGTCCCCAGCCGGGATCCCGAAATCGAGGGGATGGAAGGTGGACGTGGGAACACTCCGGAGTTCTGCTCCTTTTAACTATGGATGTATTTCAGTTACTTCCTGTGAGGCATGCTTAAGTCGGTCTGTCTCAAATAACACCAAGGCTCAATTAACAGCACACTTGATTGGCTGAAAGAAAGCATTCGGTTTTCTTAGACACTTAGGTTCAGGAAGAGCTGAATGTTGACTATTTGTTTGGTGAACGTGGTCTACACTAATAACCAAACTTGATGAATTTGGGATCAGTTAACTTCTCTTTTTTTCACAATATCAGTTTGTTTTTGTTTGATTTTGCTGCTTTTTTTTTCAAATCTTTGGTTTAGAAATATGCAGATTATCCAGGTTGTCCATGAATTGTGAGTCCCTGAGCCCTCAGGCCTGTCAGACTGCAGGTGTGGAAATATAAATCCATTGGCCTAAATTACCTGATTGCCTCAAACTTACTTTTAATTTGGTTGTTCTTGCCTGATTTGCTTCAGTCTTAGTTAAACGTGAATTTCAGGCAGCAGTTGGTTTACAGATGCCATCTCTACCTGTCCTGTCAATTGAAACCCAGAGTTAAGGAGGTTCTGTTTATAGGCTGGTGCATGTAACAGAAAGTTAGTTCTCCAGAAGCCCCCAGTGGGACTTGTTCTGGTGTGTTACGAACCTGCACCTGGACCTCACCCTCAGCTGTGGAGGCTGCCGCACGGAGTCAGAAGGAGTAGCTCAGTAACGCTCTCTTGAAAATCTTCTGTTGAAGGTTGAACCTCTCCTCGCCAGGCAGCTGTATTACTTCGCTCAGCAGAACAGCGGGCACCTCCTGAGGGGCTACGACTTACCTGAGCACGTGGGCAGCCCGGAGGATTACCACAGGTCCATCCGCCACTCCTCCATCCAAGAGTGAGGACCGTCAGGCCAGACACTGTGCTGTAAATACCTGTCCTAGGACAGCTGATGGGACCCCCACCTTTCTTTCGGGGAACCCGGGGCTTCAGTTCAACACTTGAGGGGAACGTGTGGAGAGCTGCCCCATGTGACTGACAGACGAAAGGGAGCACCACACCCAGCACCGTCTGCAGACCCCGCGCTGACGAGAATGTGAAAAGCACAAAAATCAGTTTATGTTTACCAAAGTGCCGTCTTCAGTTTGATGTGGACTCTCTCTTGCCTGAAGCCTGAGAAAACCTTTACCAGTGCTGACCACGAGGAAGGGTCCGAGAGCCGCGCTGTATCTCAGGGAAGTAAAACCCAAGTTTCCGCCCCAAGAGAAATGGACCGATACCTGGAAACAGACTCTGCCTGAGGGCATCACTCCCGCCGCCGCCGCCGCCGCCGCCGCCGCCGCCGCCGCCGCCTGCCCTCCGGCCCTCCCCAGGGTGGGCCCCAGGCCTCCTTACGCAGACCCCCGCCCGCTCTCCTGGGTGTCCCTGAAGCCAGTTCTAGACTCATTGCTATTTTTTTGAGCCAAAGAGCATTAGGGCTGCCCCTGAGTAGTGTATTTGCCTGGTAACGAATGGTTAAGGCATTTTTTGTTTGCCATTTTGTCTCTCATTCTGTAGAAATTCTTGCTCAAACGTTTTCTTAAAGAGGGAAAAAAACCAGGTGAATAATGCAAGTACTAAAGATGTATTTTGAAACTTGAACGACATTTCCCCTCTTGTCCCGCTTGTTTTGTTTGGTGACCAGTTGTCCATGACAACACTAGGGCGGGGCCGTGCTTGTCCGAGGGTGAGCCCTGCGGGGGGTGGGGGGGCTTCACAGATGCGTAACTGCAGACTCAGTGCACCGTTCCTGCTTATTTTGTGCATTACATGCTTCCTCATGCCACTGATGGTCTGACAGGGCCTTAGAACTACGGGCTTTTCTCAAACACATCTTTTTATAGAACCACCAAGCTCCCCACGGGCTCGAACAGACCTGATCGCTTACTTGTCCCATTTGGAAAAGTGCAGGCGTTTCGATGGTGATGCAGCCGCTGGTGTTTCCGTGCCACCGGGAAGCAACCGCCACTGTGTGGAGGTTCAGCGAGAGCCCTGCGCCTCCCCAGTGCGCACTGCTCTTCCTCGTCTGCACTTCTTCGTTCGTTCAACAGACAGATTACAGCCTTTATCCGATTCAGTGAGCAGTGAAGCTTGGAATGCCATTTCTTTTTTTTTTGAAGGAGTTTTTAGTAATAAAATACAGATTAACTACAGAAAATGTAAACAGCATAAAAGAACAAAAACAAAACAAATCTTCCTTTTTTCCAGCCCAAATCCTCCCCCCTAGAACTGTGCACAAGCAGCATTGGATTCTCCCAATACATTTCACTTTTCTATAAACTTACGGAAATTAAAGAGCTCTGGGCTCACGACGCACTGGCTTCTGTGCTCCCTAAATCCAGCAGTACAGAGTTACCTCGTTCTTCTCAGAGGGTTAGTGGGGACCCTGCCACGGGGCGAGGACACCCTGCGGGGGTCCCTCAGCCACTCAGGATGAACCTGACAGTAGACTGTGTTCCGTGGGCAGCAGTGACTGGCGCATCTCATAGATGCGAGTGTTTGGGGTATATTACCCCGGGAGGAGATGGGCGGGGGTGCCGCTGTGGCTCGGCCGGCTCCCCGAGCAGACCCTCAGTCTCAGTCGGTATTTGGACCCTTTTCTTTTTTTCTCCCCTTTTTAGTATCAAGCTGCTTTGCTCTGGGGCCACCTTTCTGCAGAATGCTGGTGGCCTGGGCCAGGCCCCTCTGGTCAGTGCACATTCGTGTGTCCTTCAGTTCGGAGAGACCCAGAGTGTGAGCCTGTAAGTGAACTGACCATGCAGCCGGCCAGCAAAGGGTCCTGACAGTTGTCTCAGGACCTTGAGAAGGGCCTCCTTCCTTGACCCTAGGCTGTTCTCAGCGGAGGGGGCTGTGGGCTTAGGCCCTTGTTCTGAAGAGCTTGGAGACGGCAGGGAGGGATGCGTGAGCCCCAGGCAACCTTGTTCCTGGGATTTAGTAGAGCTGTGGGCAGTGACTGTGTCCTCTGACCACTGCAGGGAGCTCGCATGAGACCAGAGCCCTGGGAGCCCCTCGGTCGCTGGCAGGCGGGGCAGAGAACCAGCAGGACGGTCGTGTTTGCTGTGTCTGAGCCGGAGAGACTGCTCCCCCGGGAGAGGCTCCACTGCCTGCCAGGGCACGAGCCCACGACGGCGCGGGCGTCACAGGGGCACAGCTGAGCCCGGCCACAGGGAGAACGTGGCCTCGGGCTCAGGCGTGAACAAGGCTTTCCCTCGTGTCACTGCGTGTGAGCCTCGGTGCGGGTCTGAGGGGGCTTGTCTCAAGGCCGAGCAGAGTTCCAGGCGCGGCTGGTGCCCGTGTGGGCTGCACCAGTGAAGGTCTTTTGTTTGTTTGTTTATTTGCATCAGTCATTTTTTTTAGGAAAAACCCAGATGCAGTTCAACCCGCTTTCATTCCTGTTTGGTCCCAGTTTTCCACTTCCCCACAGGTGAATGCTTTCCGACAGTGGTGAGCTCCCTTAAGCTCTCTGTTCTCATGGCGTGTCTCCCTAGACAGTCTGTAGCTGACTGGTGCCGACTAAATGCAGCTCATTTCGCACCTTGCCTTCCTGTCTGGAGACTGGCCGGTGGCAGCGTGGGCGACCGCACCCCTGCTGACTCTGGATGAGCCGTCACAGGAGGCAGCCCCTGTCAGCTTCCCTGCTGTCCACCCCTCCATGTGGGGGAGGGGGTACAGCCAATGTGGAGAAGACACAGGAGGCGTGGAACAGAAAATAAACTGTAAGCTCACACTTTGCTTCAGACTCTTGGAGAGGAGCGGGGCCTGGCGGGCAGGGCTGGCTCCCGCGTCCCTCTGTGCAGAGGGAGAGGACGCAGTGGCCTCTGGACTTCACCCCAAGGCTGGGCTGGTTCATCTTGCTGCCCAGCCTCCCGGGCAAGGGCGTCTCAAGAGCCGGTCCCAACCGTCCTCGGACAACTGGCGTGGAACAGAAAATAAACTGTAAGCTCACACTTTGCTTCAGACTCTTGGAGAGGAGCGGGGCCTGGCGGGCAGGGCTGGCTCCCGCGTCCCTCTGTGCAGAGGGAGAGGACGCAGTGGCCTCTGGACTTCACCCCAAGGCTGGGCTGGTTCATCTTGCTGCCCAGCCTCCCGGGCAAGGGCGTCTCAAGAGCCAGTCCCAACCGTCCTCGGACAACTGTACGTGATGCTGTCATGAATTCTGGTGTAAATCGCTTTTCAAAGCAGATTGACATTGGTGATGATCTGATGTTTTAGGCACTTGACAAATAAAGACTTTTTTAAGAACACAATCTGTCATGGGCTGTGTGTTATTAAACACTCATCTTGTAGCTTTTTAAATACTTCCTCCTTCTGTTGCTTTCGACAGCCTGCTTCCTTCCTGGTTGCTGTGCCCACCCCTAAAATCAGATCTCAGAGTGTTCGGCTGGTTCTAAAAAGCCTGCCAAACGCGTCCCAGCACAGAGCGCCCCTCCCGCCCTTGGGCACCGTCTGAGGGCACAACAGCCCTCTCCCCTCCAGCTGCGTTTTACAAGGTCTCGCAAAGCCAGGCACGTCGCTGTCAATGTTTCTTTCTGTTTTGTTGCTGTTGCTAAAGGGAGGAGTTGTAGGTTCGGTAGCATCCTGAATGTGAAAAGTTACATGAAAGTGTGTGTGGAGAGAGCACAGATGAGACGGACTCCCCGAGGCCACACGAGGGCACACCCCGCCCCCACCAGCTCTGGCGGCTGCCGGCCTGCTGGTCCAGCAGGAACATGGGGGCAGGGCTGCAGCCTGTGGGGTTAACATCCTTGCAGCTGAAGACAGTGTGGAGCTGTCAGAAATGTGTTTACTTTGCATGTGGAGCCCCAGAGTATTAGATTTGAATAATTTTGAATTTACTAGGTGGTAGCCAGATAGAAATAAGGGGAAGAAATGATCTATACTGATCTGGGGGCTCTCTCTGCTCAGCAAGAGTGCATGGACGCGAGTCAGTATTCACAGCAAGCTCTTCTCAAGCGATTTATCAGCTCGTCACATCTGAAGGAGGGTTTCAAAGGGACTCTGCGCTCTCAGCTTGTTCTCAAGGCCACACGTTTGTAAACCTTTCTTTACACACAGGGCTTGTTTGGCTGTATGGGATTCAGTTTCCTTGACAAGTAAACCCTTCCACGTGGAGTGTGTGGACAAGCTTGCCGGGCCAGAAAAGCTGACCCTGCCCGACAGCACCTCCCTGGCGAGAAGTGCCCGGGGTCACACCTAAATCAGCCCAGGCAGGTGGCCGGACACCTTCCGAAGCGGTGGGGAGTTGCGAATTCTGGGCTGCTACAGGCACCCCGTCCCCCAGCAGGACGGCGTGTGGCCCGTGGCTGTCCTCGGAGGCCCTCTGGAAGGCAGGGGCCTGGGGGCTCTCAGCAGGTGTCTGGCACGATCATTGTGAAGTCCATTTTGATCCCAACCCTCGAGCAAATGGCAAGAGTTTGGAATCTGCGGACGTTTTATGACACTTGGAAGCTGCTGCTTCTCTTTAGAATTTACGATTTGCAGTTCCTCCCTGTCCCCACAGGCACAGGCAGGATGGCGGCTTCACAGAGCATCATCCGAGCAAACAAGACATCTCTGCCCCCATTTCCTCTCCGTCTGGGTCAGGTCTCCACGGAGATCTCTACCTGGAGGGAGATCGGCGGGTCGTCGGACACCTCTGCCTTCATTTCTCACCTGTCAGTCCTGCTGAAGTGCTGCCCACAGGAATCTCCTCTCTCCTGGAAGCTGGCCCCTGCTGCCCCGGCCACTGGGCACCCTTCTCTCCCCCAGGCCGCAGGTCTGACCGGTCTCTTTCTGGAGGCATTTCTTCACCCTCCTGGAGGCGTCCCTAGTCACACCCTTCTGGCTCGGTGAAGGATACTGTTGTTGAAATATTGAAAAAATGTCCCCACTGGGTGCACCCGCCTGCTCACTCCCAGGGCAGACAGAAGATGACGTGGCTCTTGTAACCCAAAGACACTGGTTCCTGGGGAGAAGAAAGAGGACATAAGGAAGCTGGGGGTTTAAGGAAGAACAACCCTTTCACCCTTTCTGGACTCCCACTCTGACCAGAGAAAATGCTCAGAGCTGAGGAAGGACGCCAGAAGGAGACATGTGTGCACGGCTGTCAGCGGCTCCCTGAGAAGGGAGCACTGCCCTGGCCTCCCAGTAAGAGAAGCGGGGAGCGAGCCCGAGTGCAGCTTGCTGGAGGAACGGTTACCGCTGGTGGGGAGGGCAGGGGCTGCAGAGGGAGGGCTCCGTGTGCCTGTGCAGGTGCGTGTTCAGGGTGTGAGTGGACACCCCTCGGGACCACCCCCCACTGCCTG